GTTAAGGTCAGGCGAGTTTGCTGGCCAATTAAGAACAGGGACACCATGGTCCTTAAACCAGGTACTGGTTGCTTTGGCACTGTGTGCAGGTGCCAAGTCCTGTTGGAAAATGAAATCTGCATCTCCATAAAGTTGGTCAGCAGCAGGAAGCATGAAGTGCTCTAAAACTTCCTGGTATACGGCTGCGTTGACCTTGGACCTCAGAAAACACAGTGGACCACCACCAGCAGATGACATGGCACCCCAAACCATCACTGACTGTGGAAACTTTACACTGGACCTCAAGCAACGTGGATTGTGTGTCTCTCCTCTCTTCCTCCAGACTCTGGGACCCTGATTTCCAAAGGAAATGCAAAATGCAAGGTGTCAATGGTCGTCTTTTGGACAACTGTCAAGTCAGCAGTCTTCCCCATGATTGTGTAGCCTACAGAACTAGACTGAGAGACCATTTAAAGGCCTTTGCAGGTGTTTAGAGTTAATTAGCTGATTAGAGTGTGGCACCGGGTGTCTTCAATATTGAACCTTTTCACAATATTCTAATTTTCTGAGATACTGAATTTGGGATTTTCCTTAGTTGTCAGTTATAATCATCAACATTAAAAGAAATAAACATTTGAAATATATCAGTCTGTGTGTAATGAATGAATATAATAGACAAGTTTCACTTTTTGAATGGAATTAGTGAAATAAATCAACTTTTTGATGATATTCTAATTATATGACCAGCACCTGTAATTTACTTTTTTCGACATATTGTACTATGACTTTTAGATGACCTTTTGGGAAAAGATTTAATCTGACCTCTTTCGAAATACTAAACCATGACTTTCTTTCGACATGCTGTACTATTAATTCATTAGAACTTTTCTGATATATTATTCTAGGACATTTTTTGACATACTGTATATATATATACACATTATACTTTTCTATACCTCGACTTCTTTCAACCTACTATACTTTGACTTCTTTTTAAATACTACACTATGACTTTGTTTGACATGCTATAATATGACTATCACTAAACTATCACTTTTTTGTTGTACTAGATAACTTATCTGTCCTTTTCACTATTGTTGAAAAACTATACTATGAACAGCGTTCAGCTGCACAGCATGAACATGCATTGATTTTTGAAGACTGTCCTTGAACCTTGGTTGTGTGTGTAATCTGCATGTCTACTATCAGTCATTGCATAAGTCTGAGGAGAAGTGCACACACTGGAAGTACACACAGCCTCGACCCCTTTGTCTTTGTTTGGACAACATGGCTGTTTTACCGTTTTATAACTTTTTCTCCAGACCTTGGAGCAGAAATGAGCTCCTATTGACTTCCTGTTTCTCACAATTTACAAAGCAATTAGTTTGTAGTCACTTGATGAACAACGCTTATTCAAGTTAATATTGCAGTTTATATTACGTTTTTGTCAGTGGTGGATGAAGCACTCATATATTTTACTTCAGTAAAAGTAGCAATACCACCGTGTACAAACACTCTGAAGTAAAAGTCCTGCAATCTAAATTATACTTAAAGAACCAAAAGTAAAGTACTCTTCATGTAGAATGCCTCTTATAAGAATGGAATATAATTACCGATGCATTAGTGAGCATCAATGATGCTGCAGCTGGTAAATTACTTCACATACTCTATCGCTAAATTCATAAAAATACAACATAACGTATTAATATATTTATATTTTGTATCAATAATTTCAATCTGCAAAGTAACTGAAGACTATGTAACGTACAATATTGGCTTCCAAAACATAGTGTATGGTAGTAGAAGTACAAAGTAGCATAAAATGGAAATACTGAAGTTCAACTACCTCAGAATCCTGTTAGTACAGCAGAGTAAATGTACTTAGTTACATTCCACCACTGTTTTAATGGTACATATATTATTTACAAAGCAGTTAATCAAAATGCCACAAACCTGGAGCGGAGTGATGCACACTGCTCCAACAAAGTAGAAAGATATGAACAACAAGAGAATTATGAAAAACTATCTTTATTCTACATCTTTATGTAATTTACCTCAATGTACAGTGTGAAGGATATTTTCTGGAATCAAACAAACAAAACACTGTTCTGGAGAACATGAATTGATATGCATAAAAACAAAGTTCACTATCGTTTGGAAAATAAAAGGCGACTTCTGTTGTTGATGCGGATGCATTCGCAGCGTCACAGCAACGGATAGAAATACTCTAAAGCACGATCAACTGTTCAGCAGGCTTTAGAGGAGAACTCTGAGGAAATGGAAATGTGTATTTACAGTTCTGTAAACCAAGACCATTTAAAAACAATAGCTTAGAAAAATAAAAACAAGTCCATGGTATTGATTACAAGTAGCATCTCTGTTACGGTACTTTAGTATATCACTATTCACATCTCCCCTCGGCTTTTTTTTTTTTTTTTTTTTACAGGTTTGTATTTTTTTTGTCTCTGTGTAAACTATATTGACAAATGTCAAAACATCTTTTCCTTAAAATGATACAGTCCACCATCACAGAACAGATGTGCTTCTTATTTTCACATGCATACGCAAAATATGCAACATATGCAAAGAAAAGACAGTCGACAGTTTCCTATCGGCCAAGCAGCTGCCTCCTGTAGCACATCCAGTTATTCCATGTTCACGAAACAAAATCAATAATTGAGAAAAACAACAAAACAAATTTGAAAAAATAAAATATAATAAAAAGATAATGACGATGATCAAACAGCTGTAATATGTCTCTTAATGTCCTACAAGCTGTTACCCAGATTATTCACCACAGAGTGAAACGCGTTCACTTCTCACCACATCAAGCAAAACCAAAAATGATGCAGAAAGTCGACGGCATGTTTCTTCCCTTTCGTGGCCTGAATCAGCGGGCCGGTCCAACACTTACAGGACTGATACAGCAGCTCAAGATATAAAAACGTGAGGAAAGTGAACAGACACGATGGTTAAAAGGGGAACTAAAACAACACAACATGTCACTCAGGCAGCTCTCTTAGTGTTCTGCAGAGTAACACTGATGCATTCGGACACACGTATTAAAATGGAACAGATGGACACGCCAGTGAAACCTGGTAAAACTTACTCTTTCTACTGTTTTTCTGATAAAGTTTGAACATTGTTAGTTATTTCACAGGAGAGATATCTAAGTGTCTGTTTCTCTGTTGTGCTCTTTGCACTAATTTGTAGTCGGCACGGCTATTTGGAAAAAGGTGATGTCACATACTTTAGTTTACCAATCGGCACTCAGCAACATAAATCAATTAGCCCAAATCTACGTGAGATAGCCCATCAGAAGACGACCTACAGAACGACCTACACGTCGACAGAGACCTACAGAGCGTGTACAGTCGTTCAAAGTAGTAGGTGGGCTATCTCAAGCCAAGTCTCCATAACAAAGTTTGTGAACATTTTAAGCGAAGGAAAATGCAGATTAATACACGTTTCCACTCACAATTTTGTTTTGCAAATATTAGGAGTTGGTTGGAACAGTTGGTGGCTCTAATTCTCCGGTCAGGTGACATTAAGCTGCTGCAGAAGAAGAAGAGCGTGCAGTGACGGGTTTACGGTGTCCTCGTTATCACCAGTGGCCACAAGTGACATCTTCTTATCACACCTCACTTTGTCCTACTGCTTTCCAACCCGTGCAAACTTTAGGATATTTTGACATTTCTTCAAATTTCTGGCGTTTCCATTCCTGATTTTGCAAATTGAAAACGGATGGATGGAAACACGCACGCATACTGTCGGTTAAATCATGCCGCACCATATTTCAGCACTATAATGAAATGGTGACTTCACAGTGTTAAGAGGCCCAACAGAAGACGACTGTACACGCTCTCTGTCGACGTGTTTCCCCTGGTGGATGATGCCAACAAGTCAGGGTGAGCAAATAAAACAATAAAATAAAAAAACCTCAATAAAGCCCCATAACTAAAAAGATAAGCAAAGTGAGCTCATCACGAGCTTTTTTACCATACATTCTAAAAAACACCTTTTTTCCTTGCATATGCCACGTTCGTACTGCTGTTACACACTCGATGGAGATCACTTCCTGCTCTCCCCCGTCAAAATAAAACCCTCGGAAATAGTCAAATGAAATACTCAAGTTTCATCTTCCTTAATAAACGGAGCAACAAAAGAATACTGCATGTTAGCTGCTCACGGCGTTAAACCATTCACCCGACCCAGAAACACTACAGTACTTCAGGCTCGTCATAGAGTCTATTGGCATAGAATACGGTTACAGTACCAAACATACCGTCCAACACCAGCTTGTGCTTCAGTGCTCCTGTGCTTCAGTTTAGTACGATAGATTCTTAGCGTCCCGTCACTCAGGATGCTGCACTCTGAGTGAGACGCACACAGAAACAGAAACAGAAACAGAAACACACACACAAGCTAGAACAAAGAACTAGTAAAACAGACAAACGTTTAACTAAACAGATGAAAAACTGAATTTTGTTCCCATGTTGCATAAAAAAGTGTTTTAATACAGTATGTACATGTTTTTTTGACACCGTAACTGAACAGTGCTTTTTGTTTTATTATAATGTGCATACTACGTCAGCAAGGTTAGTTTGTTACGATTAAAACTACACTTCACTTCTGATGGATGTCAGTGTAAATGTGACTGCATCCGTTCAATCCACCAGCAGGTCCTAAAAGTCAGATTGTAAAACATCATCTAATGTTCTGTCTGACGGCGGAAATAATAAAAAAATGTAACTAAATGAATGAACTTGTTATAATGAAGCCAGCATAGGTTGGCTGTTAGAGGACCGAGCATGCAGACAGTCTTCTGAGATTCATGTGATCGGTCCTTTTGGAGGACTGGTCCTTTTTTATTACCTCAGAAATCTCCTGTGTGCGTGTGTGTCTGTGTGTGTGTGTGTGTGTGTGTGTGTGTGTGTGTGTGTGTGTGTGT